CCTGGACGCCGTCACTGCAGCTCACTCATCTGTTGCCTCTGCAGCTTAATTACCTGTTCGCCGCCTCTGCTCTCAGTCGTCCGCTGCCTCAGATCTCATCCGTCCACTGCCTCAGATCTCATCCGTCCGCCGCCTCAGATCTCACCTGACCGCTACCGCCGCTTCATCTCTCACTCGTTTGTCGTTGGTTTGTCCCTCAGCTCTCGGTTGCCGCAGTTTCATTTTCATCTGTCGACCACCGTTGCTTCACTTCTAATAGCTTAGTTAGAATAACTTTTAATAGCTTAGTTAGAATAACTTTGCCAAAAAAATATTACTAGAATTTGATGGGGCCTCAAAACAAAAATAAGCTATTAGTAATATGCGAGAAATTAAAAGTTGTTAGAAGTTGAGAAATGGTGCTAAATAGGAGCTTAACTTATGGTATGTAATTAAATAAGAGCTTGACTTTTTTTACTCCTAAATAGGACCTAATTTTAAGAAGTTTCCAAAATTGCCCCTGTTTCTTAAACTAATACAGAAGCTACAGATTGCCATTATTTTCTTTCGCGTTATTTTCTTCTCTCGTTCAGCTTCGCCTTCAAATTAGATGATCTTCATCTCACCTTCGAATCATCTGTTGCCATCGATCAACTGCTGTGATTCATAGACTATCGCTCACCTGTTAGTTGCTACGATCACATAGTTTTATCGTTCGTTTGTTGTTTGCGACAATCATCTTTGCCTTCATCTTCGTTTTAAATTTCAGGTAATTAATTTTATATTCTTGAATTGTATGATGATGGTGTATCAGAATTGTTTTCATTGGTGTTTACGTGTTGATAGTCGTATGAAGTTTTATTGTAGTTCTATGATTAGGAGAGCTGGAAGTATTATGAATGCTTTATCATCATTATCGTTTTTCCTGTCTCTAATCTTCTTTAATGTTCATTATTTTTTCCTTCTTTTCATGTTTCTTATTACATACGCTTTACTCTTCTGGATTTATCTTTGGTTTGACGTTGTAGATAATTCATGACATTGTTTTAAATTCATGTCATTTGTTGTATTTCTAGGTGTCGCAGACATGGATAATAATATTCTTGTCATGGTTAAAGTTGATGGATACTGGAATCCTGATAATGTGTTTCATAATAAACACATGATTGGTGTTTCTGTTTTGTTTGGTTCTTCCTATAGTGATTTCTATGATAATTTGATACATAACATTTTCAAGGGAAGAATCGATAAAGATTTTAGGATATCTTACATTGTTGAGTCATGTCCGCCCCCTGTTTTTATAGATGATGATACAAGCATTACTTTTTATCTAACTTTGAAAACCTTATATCCATCTTTTTCCCAGTTTCCAATTTGTGTTGAGTTCATTGCACATCAAGTTCCTTCAAAATGTCATACTTCTCATAATACTTCTATCCTCATACCTTCAGAAAGTATATCATTTGATTCACCAAGTGTTCCCTCTTCTTCTTCAGTTGATTCTTTTTTGTCAACTAGTGTTTATAAGGATGTTAAAGTTTATACGCACACTGATCCTACCACTATAGCATTGTACGCTATATACAAGAATAAACATGATCTTATATATCACTTGAAGTTGTATGCCATGGAGAACAACTTTCAGTATGTGACTAAAACTTCAAGAAAAGAAAGTTTACATGTTTTTTGTCCTGATGAGAAATGTGAGTGGGCTGCTCGTGGTGTTCGTCTTCCTGATGTGGACTTCTTTCAGATTCGCAGGTTCAATTGCAACTTTAACATTTTTATTTATTTATTTATAGTTGTAATTATCTGTTACATTAACTTTAATTTTCACTTCTTCTTTTTCAGATTTGATTCAATTCATTCTTGTTCAGTGGATTTCAGATAGGGTGATCACAAGCAGGCCACTTATGACATTGTTACAGGCATGGTTATTCATCGTTACTCCAATGCTTCTAAGAAACCCTATCCTCCAAATGACATAATTGACGACATCCGTAGAGAATATGACATCTCTTTGTCTTACCGTAAAGCTTTGGCAGTTAAGCGACATTCAATGAAGCTTCTCTTTGGATCCGATGAAGAGTCATATCAATTATTACCTTCCATGTGCCATGTCATTGGAAAAGCTAATCCACATTCTGTCATAACTCTTGTTCGTAATGCTGATTCTGTTTTCAAGTACATGTTCATGTCATTGTCTGCATGGAGGGAAGCTTGGGATCACTGTATTCCTGTCCTAACAGTTGATGGTACTTTTATGAAGGGCTATTTCAAAGGGACTTTGCTCACAGCATGTACCAGGGATGCCAACCGTCAGCTTGTTCCATTAGCTTTTGGGATATGTGATTCAGAAAACAAGGATTCCTGGAAATGGTTATTTTCACAGTTGAAACTGGCTTTATCTTATAGACACAGTTTATATATTGTTTCTGACAAGAATGCTGGAATTATTAAGTCTGTTAAAGATGTCTTTCCTTCAGATGGACATGGTTATTGTGTTCACCATTTAGCTGGTAACATTCGGTCTCAGTTTAAGGGTTCTGCTGATGGTAAAGAGTGGAAGTTTAAAGCTGCAGCACGAGCTTCTACTTACAAGGAGTATCAAGAATATATGGCTCTGTTGGATTTGGAGGATCCTCGTATAAGAGCATATTTAGATAAGATTGGAAGTGATAAGTGGGCAAGGTGCATGAGTGGTCCGTATAGATATAATATCATGACTTCTAACTGGGCTGAGTCCATGAATAATGTCAACATTTGTGCTCGAGAGTATCCAGTAGCAAAATTAATTGATTTTATTCGTGAGTGAATGCAAAAATGGTTTATAGAGCGTCGTGATTTAGCACATTCAACTACAACTATTCTGCCTAAAGAGCATGAACATGAGCTTATAGTTCTGCAACGTGAAACATTTCGTATGCAGGTATGACATTGTGTTTGTTAATGTTTGACATTGCTTGTTAAAGTTGTTAACATTGTGTTTAAATATTTGACATTTTCTCATAATAACTGAATTGCATTTTATTTTTCCTTTTTGCTTAGATTAGTTATTTACTGTTGCAGGTGAAGCCTTCTTGTGCTTACGAATTTCAGGTTGTCGATAGGCGCTGTCGATCTTTTGTTGTTGATTTGAAGAAAAAAATTGCACATGCTGTGCATTTCAATTGGATCAATTTGTGTGTGTACATGCTGTAGCAGCGATTTCCAAAGCACCAAACATGTCATGTTATGATTTCATTTCGTCTTTTTATAAACGCGACGCGTTGTGTGCTACTTACAATGGGAGTGTTCATCCAATTTGTGATGTTGTTGCATGGAATGTCCCTGCTGATGTTCAAAGTATGATCTGCAAACCACCTAAGTGTGAAAAGAGACCAGGTGGAAGGCCAAAGAAGAAGAGGATACCATCTGTTGGAGAGTTTCCTACATTTAAAAAATCAAAAAAACAGAGATGTTCACGTTGTACTGGTGTTTTTGCACTTTAGCAGTACATTTTTACTGCTAAATACTATTGGTGTATTTGACATTGTTATATTTAGAATGACACTTTTAAATGTAATTTCTGAAATTTAGATTGAGATGTTCACATTTACCATTTCATTTTCTATCCTTTGCAATGATAAAACATTTCTAGAATGGCATTCTGGCTATAAAATCATTCTCATTGTCATTACATTTTCAATGTAATTTTTCAATATCAAAGATATCTGGGATAATGTCATTTTCTAATTTTTCAATATCATTTGCAATGTCATTACAATGGTAATGTAAAGACGCATTCTGGCAATAAGATCATTGTCATTGTCATTACATTTTCAATGCAATGTCATTTTCTACTTTTTCAATGTTATTTGCAATGTCATTAGAATGATAATGTAAAGACAATGAATGCATTGATATTGTCAATGTCATTGACATAACAATGCTATTTCAATGTCAAAGATATTGTCATGACATCTGAGATACTGTTCAATAAAATGGAATGACATTCAAAAGGCACTATAATAACATTGGAATGTCATTTGCATAAACTGAACAAAATAACAAAGTGCAATAATTTGTTCAATGCAAACAGATAGTAGTTGTTTCACTAAGTATATTACACACGATTGTATTAGAATATCATATCATATCATATAAAGCACTTCAGTCCTGCCCACATCTTCACTTCGCTGCCACATCTTCAACCTAGTGCTTCCTTCATCCTTCTTTCGTTATACAGTATCAGCTCTGTCATCATTTTTTCTCTAAATAGGGGCATGTCTTCAGATTTGATTTCCTGAATATCCCTTCCCATCATCAGAAATTCAGCAAATTTCAAAACAAACATTCCACAGTTTCCACTGCATGAAGTAAAAGCAAAAACACAACATTAAAATCTAATAATTTTATTAGACAAAAAAAAATATATAGTTCAATATATTGAACTTACCAATCATCCTGTTGTGGACAATTTTCCACTGCTTGAACTGTGAACTTATCATCTTATATATGTTCCATCATGTCATACACTTCGTAATTGTCAAGGATAAGATGTAACATCTCTTTCAAGCAAGGAAGATATTCAACAATGTCTCTAAGTGATTGACCCCGGTTTGCTTTGGAATTGTAAACCCTTATTACTTTGGTGTTCATTTCTATAACCAGCAACACCCAATGTCTACCATTACACACAGGCATGTACACAAAATCTGATTCACTCCATGGCATTCTGACACTATAGTATCATGGTCAGATGCATCTTTCAATGTCTTATTGTTATTCTTTATTTCGTTATGTGCTGTCTTCAGAATTTGAATGAAATATGGACCCACGGAAGCATATTTATGTGGTAATTTGTATTGTGCTCTTTTGAAATTCAAATAGTACATGCACATTGCCATATGCTGCAATTTAAAGAGTTTCATAAATATATTTAATAAAAGTATAAATTTACATAGCAAACAATTTGAGTATTTATTATATTAAACCACTACTTACAGAATCATTCAGCCATTCTGGATTGAAAAACAGTTCGTAGAGCCATGTTTTTGACCTTATCTCAAAGTCATCAACTATAAAAGGCATTTTGTCCAGACTCACAAAATTCTTTTTGTACTTCCTAGCATCCTCAAATTTCCTCCTCTTTTTCAGCAGTCCAATATTCAAATAAGTCCTTGTTTTCTCAATTGCATTAACAGGTGGCATCTCAAAAGGGTCAAGTGCAAATGGCCTGTACAATGACTTTCTTTCATTCATTCTTAGTTTCAGCATTTTCTTCTCTAGCCTTTCCACCTTAGCTTTCTTTCTTTGTTGCACAAGTTCTGTAGGAGTGTATTTTTCAGGTTGAGTGGCAGTCCTTTTTGGCCTTTTAAACTTTGCCAATGTCTCTTGAATAGGTATTCTTTCTGCATAAACCTGCATTGCGAATTTCAAATTATATTCCACTCCCAATGTCATCCGCAATGGTATTGATGGAAACTATGTAATTACCAATGAGATGCCATTAGAAATGCCATTATCAATGTTATACTATTACCAATGTCATTTGTCTGAGTCATTGTAATCGCATTGTACTTCATACAATGACATTCGAAATGGCATTGCCAAGACATTGTACTATATAGATTGCCAATGTTATGGAATTTTAAATTCCATTGTCAATGATATATCTATAACATTCTCATGACATTTTTAGGAAAACTTATATTATCACCAATAAAAATTTATGTTGTTGTTGTTTAATTTACTATTTACCGCTATTGCTTTTTCACTGTTACTTCTGAATTCCTTTTCTCCAGAACTCTGACCATCTTTATCCTGCAGTAACAAATCAGAATGTCACAAATAGACATATAGAAATGTTTTCAATTATCATTGTCATTACCTTGTTTTTTATAATATCATTCACAATATTATCGACCTGCTGTAGATCTTCAGCTGAAAATTGAGTGTCCCCCAACAATGGAGATTTTTCATTGTTAGACATTGTCTTTTCAGGAGGTGTTGGAGTGAAGTGCAAATCAAAACTTGGCATATCAAAACCCCCAAGATTCTGCACTTGTTTAACATTTTCTTTTTCAAACACTTCTTCAGCCTTTTTTTCTTCCATTTCCTTTACAGAAACTTCTTTTTTAGAGATTTTATCCTCCCCAGATTCATCAGACTCCTCAGCATCTGACTTATTATCATTTTTTTCACCCTCCCCAAACTCCTCAGCATCTTTTTCTTCCGCAGACTCCTCAGCATCTGGCTTATCATCATTTTTTTCACCCTCCCCAGATTCCTCATCATCTTCTTCTTCTCCAGACTCCACAGCATCTTGCTTATTATAATCTTTTTCACCCTCCCCAGACTTCTCAACATCTTCTTCTTCCCCAGAATCATCAGACTCCTTAGCATCTGTCTTATTATTATCTTTTGCACCCTCCCCAGACTCCTCAGCGTCTTCTTCTTCTCCAGAATTATCAGACACCTCTACATCTTCTTGTTCACTAGATTCATTCTCTTCATATTCTTCCTCAGTTGTGTCATCATCAGAACTTGTATTATAGTCAAGCTCAACTTCTTGTACAATCTTCTTCCCCTGCACTGTCTTGCCAGAATCTTTTATTTCATACCCTTTCTTCAGAAGCAATGACAATATCTGCTCAAACATTTTATCATGTTTCTTTAGGGTATCTTTGATACCCTTCTGCTCTTTCAAACATATTACTTGAAACTGATCTTGTTCAGAGTTGCTTTGACTCTCAGTTTCTGCCTGCTCTTTACCTTTTTTGCTTTTTGTTGCTTTGCTTCTCACAATAGTACTTTTCTTGGCTTTTTTGAATTCAATTTCCGATTCCTCTTTACCATTCTTGCTTGATGCTTTTCTTTTCAAAGCAGTTTTTTTCGGTATTCTCTGTGATCTTCTTTTATCTATTCCAGACTGCATCTTGCCTTCATTGTCACTCTCATAGATCACCTTCTCCACAGTTGCATTCACATCCACTATGTTTTTCTCATTTCTGGTTGTCCACATATTTGTTATATTAGCATCTTCAAACTCTATTGTTGTTGGAACAATAGGCTGGAACTCAAACAGCAATGGTTGTAATATCATAAGTTTAACAAATCAATATATCTTTTAAAATTATACATTTAAATGCATTGATTTAAATTAACAATGTTATCAATTTCACTTCCAATGTCAATGTCGTTCAAATGTCAATGTCATTGGCAATGATATGTCATTGCCATTGTTTTGTTATTGGAACGTTATACCATTTTCAACGATAATGGCAATGTAATAACATTGTCAATGGCAATGTGATAACATTGTCACTGTCAATGTGATAACAATGTCACTGGCAATGTGATAACAATGTCACTAACAATGTGATAACATTGTCACTGGCAATGTGATAACATTGTCAATGACAATGTGATAACATTGTCAATGACAATGTGATAACATTGTCAATGGCAATGTGATAACACTGTCAATGGCAATGTGATAACACTGTCAATGACAATGTAATAACATTGTCAATGACATTGGTAAAGAAATAATAAAAATGAACTATTTTCTGAAATTAGTATGTAGTTACCTTTTTGTTGTCAAAAATATCCCCAGAAACAACTTTAGCAGAAGGCTTTTTCAACAAGCACCACCTTGTGATCCTTAGAACTACATCCTTTTTGGTAGTAATAACTTTGCACATCTTCGCTCTTGATAATGCTGGGAATGTTTCAAATGCCCAAATTTGTATGGCAAACATATATCCAGGAAAATTATATCTTCCTTTGTCAGATTTGGACATGTTTTTGGCACATTTCTTAACATTGTCAACAAGGTCCTTCCAAACAACCTCACCCCATGCATAGGAATTAAATTTATCCAGATCATTCACCAAGTCAGCATAGGCCATTGGCATTGTAATGGAGGTCTGATTTCCCAGGAGCAGATTTGATAGGACATACAATAGTGCCAGTTTCACGCCATCACCTGGCTTTGCATTACTGTCCTTTCTGTTAAAATTTTTGAATGCCTTTGCGACATCACCTCGGTACAGTGACCTCTTCTTGTTCTGCTGGAAGTATCTTCTCCAAATATCACCTTCTTCAGATTTTTCAATATCTTTGTCACCGGTATATCTTAAACCTGTGAGCAGACAGAACTCCTCTTTGCTGAAGGTGACAAGTTTGTTTTGTATATGAAATACAAGCATGTCTTTAACAACATGCCATTAATTTCAGTGACATTGCTTCCAACTAAATATATCAGGAGTTGGCCACTTATCCATTTCATATCTGCAATTTCCAGAATGCTTCCAAATGATGTTGTTCTGAAGTTATTGAGTTCTTCTTCATTCAGTTTCATCTTCAGCAGTCCAGCAACAGAATCAACGTTGCAGTAAACATTTAATCTAGTATCTGCAGAACTTCTTATCGTTTCATCACGGCATAGCTTTGTAATAGCCTGTAACATTTCATTACACATGAAATAAGTACAAATAAACCTAATTTAATGATCAACAATAACATTGTGGTTACATTCTTATGTTTATAAAACTAAGAAATTACATTTTAAGTTAATTTTAATATGAACACAAGCATATAACCATAGCTGTTTACAATACTTATAGTAGAAACATTTATTTAGACATGCAACGAGAAGATGAACTAATTTAATCAAAACAACATTCATAACACTTCGAGATTGCAATATAACAATAAAAGTAAACAATAACAGTAAATTTAAAGTTGTAAACAATTATATAGCAAACAACATACAATGTTATTGAAAAAACTACAATGACATACATGTTATTTATGCATGTTCACAAAAATAATATTCTCGTTTGAGATAAATAAATGTAAACAATGATAACAATGTTACTGAAAAAACTACAATACGAACATATATTTCAATTTATTTGAGATAACTTTAATCAAAATAAGAGAAAAATATAGAAAACGACATACCAGTGTTTGGTTATCTGCTGCAACTTCCTCGCTACTTGCCATTGCAATGTCGTCTTCAACTTGCTCGCTACTTTCTTCGAACCTAGACTTTCGACATCGGCTCTCCACTTTTTTGAGTTTCAAAACTGCGCTCTTCGCTTCTCTGAAGTTACGAGCATCGTCTCTCCACCTTTTGCTTTTGTGTAAATTTAATGATGGTCGCGGCTCTCCACATCGGCTATTGATGGTCGCGGTTTTTTTAGAACATGTAGTTGCCACCGCCCCACAAAACCGCTCCATGTGTCGTTTAAATTTTTTCAAAATTTATATGTTATTTATTTGTTGGACAACTTTAATGACATTATCAGACATTGAATGACATTGTCAATGACATTTAAAAAGTCGGTATGGCATTGCAAATGACATTTCAGAATTTCAGTTGTGACTTTTTAAAATTTATTATATAGCAAAATCCAATTTTCTTTTACGTTGTGCTATTTCAAGGGACTTCATATGTTAATGACAATGTCAATATTTAGTATAATTGATAAATATCTTTTATTTCATTTATCAAAGACTTACATTTTTATTATTTGTAACATTGGGATGACATTGTATTATTTTTACCAATTTTGCTCTCGTAATAATTATGACATTGCTTTTACATGACATTAGTATTGCCATTGTCAAAAAAAATTATAGAATGACATTCTTACATTCATTGACATTCGGAGTATTTTTCATGCTTTTGACATTGCACGTTTACAAAACAATGTCAATGTTTTATAAAACAGAATTGTACACACAAATCGTAATACATATGCAGATACACAATAAAAAACAACAGGATTTTTCCGGAATTCTATCGGAAATCATACATCACAGGTGTGCTGTATTTTGCAGAGAAGATATATTCAAAGAAACTAAATTTGTAGGAATCCAGTCAGAAATCGATCGAAATTTGTATGATTGAAGCTCTGCTATCATATTGATGTCGAAGGATGAGTCTCTTACCGTAGTCAACGAAATATGAGTTTCGATGTGAACGGAAAGCGCGATTGGAAAAGAATCGATCTGAGTTTCGTTCTTCAATCAACGAATTGTTCTGCAATTTGAATTTTGCGTGGAAGATTGATTGGAGATTCATCGTTGTCATATGAGTCTGGAAATTCTTCAATCGCGATTGTACGGATCGGAAGGGAGAGTTAGCTGGTGTGCGAAGAAGCTAGATCGGTAGTAAAGAAGTTGGGGGTATTTTTGTCCGTCCGGATGAAATTAGGTCCTATTTAGGGTTTAAAAAGTTAGAGCTCCTATTTGGATACGAAGCCTATGTTTAGCTCCTATTAGAGTCTTTTGCATAAAAAGTTCAAGGAGAAATTAAAAAATTTGCGGGAAATATTAGTAGTAACGCGTGCCAGTAATAAGCTATTAGAACAAATACTCTGCAGTTGAAATTGGATTTGGAGTTTGTAAGGAGAACTCTTTCCCCAAGCTTGAAGCCTCCGGCGTCAATAGAAACTCCGCATTCCGCTATCTTGATCCTCACAAATGACTCGATCCACCACATGGAGTCGCCAATAGCAGTTGATCAGACAGCACTCGTTCTCAAGTCTGGTTCCGATTTGTGATTGATTATTTGAGTATTTTCGAGTTGCGGTTTCCAATTGATTATTCGATTTCTGATTTGGGTTCTTTCGGACCTTATTTGAAAGTTATGGTGCGTGGTGTTGGCTTTGGTGTCCACATTTTAATTTTTATCATTATAGCTCCTTTGTGGTTATTGACTTCATAAATATTTGAACCCGTTTGTCATTTTTAAGTTTCCAACGATTGCTACTCACTATGCTGATATTGTAAAGACAAAATTTTCTTCCTGAGAATGGCCATGTTGGATGTCTATCGACCACCACTTTCTCGTAGTCACAATAAATTCAATACTTCACACTTATACGTAGTATAGTGAAGTAGAGTCTGTCTTCACATTCAAAGAAATAATTCTCTTTTTATGAACTAGTAAATAAAATGGGGGTATTGGGATTGAGTGATTTAATTAAATTAATACTAAGATGAACGACTTATATGTGATTAAATTCAAAGAAAAAGAACTTAGTTTTGTTACTTTTCACTTGTTGATATATTTAGCCGATCCTTGTTATATCTATAACTTATCCTCTCTCGAATACTCTGATAGTCCCTGTTTCTTTAAAAGCAATGAATAGTAGTATAACAAAGAAGATTAACCTAATAGATGAACACAGATGAATCGATGTAAAACCCTCTTTGATATACCGTGAACTCGTACACAGAATGATTTGCGCTAAGGCTATTATGAATAAGTACGAATGTTAACCTAATCATGAATCCTCGGCTCCCTTTTTATAGGCGAGATTCAGGTAGGCGAATAAGGCTTTTGGCCTTTAGTATGGGCCTAACACTTGGCCCATATTCTATCTAATAAATGCACATATTTAATATAAGGAATAATAATAAAGCTAAT